TGATGAAAATAAGTAGGATTTATGGCAAAGTAATTCAATCAAATAATCTGAAGCTGGTCAGAAGTATTTCATTCCAATGTACAGTTATAAAATCTATAGACATTTTGAAATTAAATGAAAAGCAAAAGCAAGCCATAGATTGCTGCTGAAGAGAAGAGAATAAAAGAAAAAGCAAAAGAAAATGTCAGCTGCAGAAGATCTCATTTTGGAAACCTACAATATGTTGATTGATAGGACCAGCATTTTTCAAGCTCTGTCACAGCTGAAGTATAAAGCTGTCAGCACAAATAATAATGATGGATGCTCTAAAACATGCAAATAGCATGAAAAATCATTTCTCACATAATTTTGGGAGAAGAGAGGAGTTGTGAACTGAAAGGGGAGGGGAGGTCAAGCTTAACATTCAGTGAAGAGGAATAGGTGGCTGCATGCTGCTGTTTGAGTTGTTAATTACTATACGAGTGAAACAATGAGTTATGCTGGCCTTCTGCAAATTTTCCCACGGAAATTGTATTGTGGCCAGTGGAGGAAGAGAAGCAGAACCACAGCTTTGGAGCTGAACACAATGGTGAGCTCCCCTGGAACAAATCCGCACAAAAGGGAATCTGCTCCAGGGGCTACCAGCGCTTTCAGGAATGGGTTGCTTTAAGAACATGCTGTGTATTTCAGAGGTGACATTTACAGGACACCATCAATATTGGGGGTGTTTCAGTTAATTAGCCTTTTTTATTAACACTGAAGTACAGTAAAACCCAATGTGTTAAGAATGTAAATTAGCACTACCACCAGGCTGATCTAGCGCAGAGCAGTGAACTATCACACACTGCCCCCATATTTATGGTGCTTTTTATTTTCTAGAGTGAGCAAAGGTTGCTCATACTTCCAGCTGGTTTTCACCTCTGGTGCATATGCATGTGCTTTCAAGTGCCAGACTTCACAAGAAGCAACAAAGCTGTGAGTGCAATCTTTTGTTGCTAGACTTTATGTTCATTAATTGTGCAAAAATTATATTTATATCTGACTTTGGTGAAAAATCAATATACGTTCATGCTGGTATTGTGGGTTCTTTTAAAAGAATAGTTACAATAATTCACCATATAGCATCCTACCTGAGCTAAAAACACCCAATATAAAATAAAGCATTATTTATATAAAGCGCCTTTCCTGGGCTCCATGAAATGGTAAAAGCCACACAGATGACAACCCTTTCTATTCAAAACTCCTTATTCCTCAGTCTTCATTCCGTATCAGCTTTTGATTAGGTTTTATTTTCAAAACTCTGCCTCATTCAGCACAGGTCTGCACACTGGATCTTCTTGATGAGAGCCCACCCGTGGGTTTTAAATCTATCTCCACATTTGCCTTTGGTTTTATGTATTATCTTCAATTTTAGGGTTCCTAATAGCAATTCTTAATCATTCCAGACCCTCCTAAATAGAGACTGACTAATGTCAGGTCTTTAAACATGCCTCTATCTTTCCAATAGTCATGTCCTTCCAAATTTGACAATAAGGAGACAAATAGATTTAAAAAACCGCAAACTATTCAAAGTCTTTAACTAAATGTTATATATTTGGTCTTATCTGTATTTGTGTTTAGATTGCAAGCTCTTAGAGACAAAGGCTACCTCTGTTCCTGGTGCACATACTGCTGAACAGTGTCACACTCCACAAATTACAAATAATGAGCAATGAAGATAGACCTTATTTTCTGCTACCTTCCATCTTATTGCTATTTATTTCCACACAAAACAAGTGTCAAAGAGGTGACATTAGCAAGCCCTGTGGTTCCTCAGCAGCTCAGCATGTTTTAAGTTAAGCTGTCATTCATAAAAGAGGACAAAAACGCTGAACAGTTCAGAAAAATATGTTTAAACATTTTACTAAGTAGCAAATTGAATTTCTCATTGAGTTCTGAGTCAATCTGTTTCATACTTCATTTTGCTTCAAATTCCTCATCTTCCGATTCTTTTTCTCCCCAGTTGGATTTCATATTGATTTCACACCTGGAACAGTACCTGATATTCATGTCCAGATACTAGTAATGCCTCAAATTCACTATCCAGCAGGATTATGCTCTTTTGCAATTGTTCAGTGCATTTTAATTACATAATAATTCCCTGTTGCTGGTGGTGAGTTCACATCCCTGTGTTGCTGTTGTATTTCTACTGTTAAGATTAAAAGGATCCAAAGGTAGGTGGGTGTCATGGAACTAATAAATTGAGGCAAAATTAAATTTATTTTTCAAACTCAGTTAAAGCTTCACTAATATTAACTACAGATTTGGGTTGTCACATGGATTTGTCACTACGCTGCTCTTTCTTAAACTGTGTCTAATGGTCCAAAATGCAAAATCACTTACCTAAAAAGGAAGGGCTCAAATAATACCTTAATACACTGGATGGATTAGGAAGACTCTCCCCCTTGCCACAATTAAAAAGCATGTAAGAAAAATGACTAGGTATTCCTGAGAGCTTTAAGTGAGGCAACTCTCCAGAAAG